TGGAACCACTACTAATCTAGATAATGCTTGGCTGACAGCCGGAATTTATGACCAGATGGGGTTTGTGCCACACCGGAACCCTACCATTACCAACTGGGACTGACTAAACCACACCACACGTTGCTAGTCCTCCAGTATTAAATTAGCAAAGCCACATTTGATGGTGAATCACTGTATCCGTTATCGTGGTACTAACAGGAGAGCCCAGGTGGTCCTTCTGCTCCCATATCTGAGGGAGACAAAAGAGCGCTGAGCTGATCTTCTGGATATGCATCTAGTGACACTTGCTTTGAATTTTAGCTAGTGTCACTTTTCTGTTACCGCAAACAAACCTAGCCAGTTACCAGTGGTTACGATCGATAAAGACCAGCGATTTTTTACTGCACTGTCCAAAATCGGCGGTAATGCCTTCAATCTGGTATTTTTGGTAAACACGTGACATCGTAAATCGAGGGATGGAAAATATCCGCACAATTTCAGAAAATCGATGTTACATCTAATCTGGCTCCCATTATCATGTTTCGAATTCTGATAATTCAATTTTTTTTACCATGGGCAGTCGACCGGGTGTTTACATTGACAAACCAAATCACAACTGATATAAGTATGGACAATTTCCATGACATCAATTTACGGTGGTGCTACCAACCTTTACCTTTTCATACTACAATGCAATGACTTTTGACACGTCAGTGTATTATAAATAAAACGTTCTAATTATGTAATATTAACATGAATAAACATTATCATAGGTAATAAATAAACAAAAATAATTTAATGGCAAATGGTTTACTAAGAGATCGAATCATTTTCAAAATAGGGACCTAATTTTATGTTTTTTCTTAAAATATTCATTCTATCAAATATTCCAATGGAAATACTTTTTTAAGATGTACAGGATATGCGAAATACTGGCACATTTGCATACACTCAATGTTACGAAATATCTATGGCACTAACGCATACATACAAACACTCACTTGAGTATGTACTTGATTCAGTAAAGGTTTAGAGAAAAAGTATTATCGAATCCGACAAGTTTTATTGAACAACATCGAAAGTTTTGTCTATTTAACTCTAGATTTCTTTTCAACTTCCAACTGAGATGTCTTGCATTAGTATTACAATGTTAAACTGTCATGACTTTATTTCTATACATTTGTGTACTTTCGATCCTCACTAGAGCTGTTATCAAGAACTGCGCGTGTACCAGTCTGTTTAACAAGGTGTAACTTTGTTTGACAAATTCCGGTGTTCTAAATTGCTGAAATTCGAATCTAAAACAGTTAAAGGTGACGTCATCTGGAACGGTTTATTCTAACGGGCATTGGCTAGACGTCGTAGCAGGCAGGCACACACGGATATTAGCAGTAGTCAACTATTATATACTCCATGTAGGGTTTATATATATATATATATATATATATATATATATATATATATATATATATATATATATTCATTATATTTCTGGAGAAAATATATATATATATATATATATATATATATATATATATATAGATTGATAATATTAGTGGAAAATATATATATATATATATATATATATAGAGATAGATAGATAGATAGATAGATAGAGAGAGAGAGAGAGAGAGAGAGAGAGAGATTGATAATATTAGTGGAAAATATACACATACATATGCAAAATGTATAAATATATATACATACATGCATACACAAAAACATATATATTTTGTATAAAAAATTCAAGAGGATAGAATCCAGGTAGAACTCAATGTCTAGGACAGAGTGAGGATATAATAAAAGGCTTAAAACACTAATATTCCATGGTCATAATTTATTCCATTGGAATCGTAACGATCCAATTCATCAGACCTACAAATTCAAACAGAAAAAAACAACTCTGTTTTCTTTTATCAATCATATATATATATATATATATATATATATATATATATATATATATATATATATATATATATATATATATATAGTTTTCTCCAGAAATATAATGAATATATAAAAAAAAACAGAGTTGTTTTTTTTCTGTTTTCTTTTTGAATTTGTAGGTCTGATGAATTGATCGTATTTACGATTCCAATGGAATAAATTATGACCATGGAATATTAGTGTTTAAGCTTTTTTATATATATATATATATATATATATGTGTGTGTGTGTGTGTGTGTGTGTATGAATAGTGATTTTGTAAGCGATTAGAAAAGGCCGAAAATATTTATATATATTAGGTTGGTGCAAAAATAATGACGTAATAATGTCGTTTTTGACGTATGTTTTAACGTCAAAAACGACATTATTACGTCATTGTTTTTGCACTCAACCAATATATATATATATATATATATATATATATATATATATATATATATATATATATATATATATATGAAGTACACGTGCCCGTCTTTCATTTCAGACAATTTCTGTTACGATATTCTTTTAAAAGAGCCAAATGCGATAAAATATCTGGCATGGAACTGTCAAGACTTCCCTCTCCAGGGTTGAGTCCAAAAGCGTTTATAAGGCCTTGTGGGTGATGAATTAGTTTCAACCCTTCATCCCTTTTCCCAAAGCTTAAACTTTGAAAGTCTGTCGTGACTCTATCGATATTTGGCAAATGTTCTTTGCTCAAATAGATATATGCTCAAGACATATATAAATTAAATTTAACGCTTATAGTAATATATATATATATATATATATATATATATATATATATATATATATATATAATGTTGAAAACAAGACTTCACTAATTTTACCAATCTGCCATATACGCACGATATATTGAGATCATATTCATATTAGCAAACAGCTTAGAAGAAATTTTAAGACAACTGAACGAAATATTTTAGAATAACTCTATTCTACACTTTATTTACGAACTCAATATTAATAATAAAATCCCTTTCCTTTATATATAAGCTGATTCCATTAACTATAATTAGCCACCACATCAACAGAAACTCGTGTTTACTGAAGTACAAAAATGAATGTTCTCACAATATAGCTTCTATAAAAAAACATGATTTATAGAACCAAAGAAATCTCTTCTTTGGACATATTAATCTACAAGGAACTTAGCAACATTAAACAAACCCTTATCAACAATAATCTCCATAACCACGTCGTTAACGAAGAAATAAAATTAGCCTTAACGAAATTTACAAAAAAAATGACGCCAGAACCCCCCCCCCCTCCAAAGCAAACAAGAACAAACACACCATTAATTTATTCTATCGTAACGAAATGCACCCTAATTAAAACAGGATGTTGAAGCAATTAAAAAAATATATCGCCAATACATATCACACAACGATATGAACAATGGTCTATTAATGATTTATTATCTACTATAAAAAGTTTAAAACATCTAACTTTATTATTACCAGCAACACCGGGCCTCATAAATCCCCACCCTATGCAAAAACAATGTTGTCTATGAATTGTTATACCCCCATTGAGAGATTATATATATATATATATATATATATATATATATATATATATATATATAATTTTTTTGTTTAAAAAATATGATTCCTTCTACATAAGAGTTCTCTTGAAGATGAAAAAGGACTAAACACCTCAATTCAACGTAATTTTAATAATTATTTGGATGGTTTCGGCTCTCGTTTTTGAAACATGAGAACTCTTATGTAGCTGAAGGAATCATATTTTAAACAAAAAATATTATTATAATAAAGCTCTACTTCTGTATGGAGCACTGTCTTCTTAAAAATAAAAACAAAATACTAAGGAACTCCGGATTATACACCCAACGTGTTCTTTTCTATTTTATGCATACCTGCACTTATACATACACACACACACACACACACACATATATATATATATATATATATATATATATATATATATATATATATATTATGAAATGGACAAAGTCCGATAATTATTTTAAGACATTTTTATGTTTATACGTTCTTTTTTAGGTACAAATATTTAAGTAAATGCTCTTTTTATAATAAATAATGGAGAATTTAGTTTAAAACAGTAAAATCGACCTTGCTAACCTAAACGCTCCTCTGTGGCTCAGTCGGTAAAAGCACGTCAGGTTATATGACGGTTCCGTGTAGTATACAGGTTCGATTCCGGTCGAAGGAGGCATATTTTCTATGAAAATTTCTCGGACATTCAGGCCGGTAAATGTTGTTAATACTGTTTATTATAAACAGAGCTTTTACTTAAATATTAGTATCTCTAAAAAGAATGTAAATAAAAATATCTTTTAATATATATATATATATATATATATATATATATATATATATATATATATATATATGAATAGTAATATAAAACTATGTGTTGTCCATTAATATAAGTTGTACCACTTGCACCCTGAAGATGATCTTGAATAAAGATCGAAAACTTGGAAAATGAAAATAAAAGAAATTTAAAAAGCTATAGCACATTTCTCTCATCCTTTTCATCAATACACAGAAGGTTATTCGTGAGTATAAACGGATTTTGTTAAAAATTAGCAGACATAATGCCTGTAATTTATTCAATCAGATATGCCTAAAAGAGAATTTGCTGCCTATATATATATATATATATATATATATGGAGAGAGACAGAGGAAGAGAGAGTTAAAGTTATTTTATAGAACAAAAATAAAATGAAAATGTTATTTTGTTAACATTTATTTAATAGAGAAATGAATGAACCCACCAATTCCTGCTGAGAAAGAAGGTAGGACATCCAATGCCCTAATAGAGGGCATTACCTACATTGATTGAAATCTGATTTAGTCGTTCCTTGAAACCGCCGACCAATCTCTGATGGCGATTGGGGGAAATTTTTCACCGCTCCTCTAAAAGTATTTTTTTTTCAGCTGCTTTAGCTTTACGACCGTATCACGTTAGAATACCGGTTCTCGTAAGATCACTGAAGTTAAGCAAGGTCAGTACCTACATGGGTGACCGCTTCGGAATACCGGGTTCTGTCAGTTTAGAGGTGCGAATGGTAGGCCTTACAGTCATATCACGTTAGAATACCGGTTCTCGTAAGATCACCGATGTTATGCAACGTTGAGCCTGGGCAGTATCTGGATGGGTGACCGCTTAGGAATGCCAGGTGCCGTAAGCTTGGATGCACGAGTTGTATGCCTTACAGTTATTCACGTTAGAACACCGGTTCTCGTAGGATCACCGAAGTTAAGCAACACCGAAACTGGACTGTACCTATATGGGTGACCACTGAAGAATTCCAGGTGCTGTAAGCTTGGATGTGCGGTGGTGTAATGGATAACGGGTCGAAATTTGAAATTGGAGAGCCGAGTTCAAGTTCGTTATATTTACTTACGCGTAAATAACCTGAAGAAAAGTATGAATCCATCTCTTCTCCCCCATGTATGGGTTAATTAGTATGACTTGTATCACTAAATCATTATTATCTCCCAAATAAACGTTATAAACTTAAAGAAAATTCCGACTGTATATCACCTGAAAAATGTTGATAAGCCGTAAAAAATCCATCCGTTCTTTGGAGTCTTACATACACAGCAAGTTACAAATCATTCCACAGCGTCTCGATATGATTTAGCTCCGGGGTTTAACTTTGTTATTCAAAATCGCTCAACTTGGTTTTATTTTGGACCATTTCTTGGTAGATTTACTGAAATTCTTCATGTTTCACACTCGTTTCAGTTTTAATTTTCTGACAGTATCATATTTTCTTCAATCCTCTTTGATACTGTTCACTGTGGATTCTATAATGTTAATCAAGCCCGGCCCACATCTGGTGAAGTAAAACAGTCCGGCTTCTTGTGCTCAAATACTGTTTTTGGTTAGCACCGAATTTGTGTTCTATTACTGCACCATAACAATTCAATTTGGCACTCATCTGTCCAAAACACATTGTTCCAGAAGTCCTAGTCATTTTCTCTAAGCGTTCTCTGGTCTCTTCTGACAGCATTTGATTCTTCTTTGCATACCTTCCAGGTAAATCATATGTTGTAGAGTTTCTTTGACATCAACTATAGCAAAGGCTCCTTATACGTCCTGTGTTGACATTTTAGGGTTCACAGAGACATGTTGGGGTCTGCACTTTGGCTGAACTTGCTAACTCAACCTGACCATATGTTGACAGTTGTTTTATTTTTTTCCACTTCATATGCGTTTATTACAACCATGGCCTCTTTTCATCTAACCATAGTGTGATACAACTCACTTCAATAATCAAAAATAAATAAAAATGTCTGAGTTTTAAACAAGTCAGTCATGTGCCATGCGTGACACACACTTAGGCGATCATGTATTTTTCGATACACGACTGACGAGGCGGATTTTTTGCCGCGGTAGGTTTCCATTTCTTTTTACGGTAGACCAGTTCCCATCCAAGGCTATAGAACCTCTGCCCTGCTATTTAACCTTAGCTGAGGGAGAGAAGAAGAGGATTCATACCTTTCCTAAGGCTATTAGCATGTAAGTGAATGTTATGGATTCGACTGAAATTCGAACTCGGCTCACTGATTCTTCAATCCGAGCCACTATCCATTAGTCTAACTCCAACGGTTTATAATTTCTTGGGGACATTTTAAATCCCTTCCCAGTTTTTTTTAAGTCTCGTTTCATCTTTGGCTTCCCGTAGTGTGTCGGCAATGCTCCAGATCCCCACGTCGAATCACTCAGGTAACACCGGACAATTTTCTTTGCTTTCTTTTCCCTCACCTTAATTCGGTAGAGAGACGCCGTAGTAACAGAGAGGATAATGTTAAAAGATTGGCCAACTATCCATCACCACGTGGTGGGGTCTGTCTTATTGGGAGCGGCGAGGCAAATCCATCCTTCTGTTATTGCAGACATACTGACTTCGCACTTTAGTTTTGTCTTATATTAAAATTTAAACAAATACAATTCATCACTGTGAGAATTCTTTCTGTGCTCATTTCGGCTCCTCCAAGGCTATTTACCCATAACTGGGGGGAGAAGAAGAGGATTCAAACCTTTCCCAAGGGTATTAGCATGTAAGTGAATGTAATTCGAACTCGGCTCTCTGATTCCCCAATCCAAGTCATACCTACACACACACACACACACACACACACATATATATATATATATATATATATATATATATATATATGAGAGGCATGGTGGAGTAGATATATATATATATATATATATATATATATATATATAGAGAGAGAGAGAGAGAGAGATATACATATATAGATATAGTTATATAATATCAAGATGTATATTTTTAAAATTAGTTTTATCTTATATAAAATCACATCGGCCTGTCTACAGGGCCTAGAATACACCGACTGCATCTTCTGCAGAGGTTAAGATCCCCTCATAAAATCATGAAGTACTTTTAGACTTAAGTACGAGCGACCAATGTTTACTTATAAACTCAAGTATAAACACAGCCAGTGTTTACTATTCTACACATGTATAAGCCAAGCTAATCTTTACCCATGAACTCAAACATAAACCCACTCAATATTCACTTATAGGCTCACGTATAAAAACGTTCAAATTTTTACAATAGTCTCAAATATAAACCAAACTAATCATTACTTATAGACTCAAGTATAAACTTGACCTATGTTTGCTTATAAGCACAAGAAGAAACCAACCAATCTTTACCTATTGCCTCAAGTATAAACATGTCTAATATTTATTTACCTGTAGATTTCAGCGTAAACAGTTTACTTATGGAGTGAAATGTAAAGACGGCCAATTTTTATCTATAGACTCAAGTATAAACACAACCAGTGTTTACCGGTTGGCTTAAGCATAATGAAATCTTGATTTCGAAATCAAATAACCCAATTGATTTTTATATGTCGTCAAATCTACTAACCCAGTTCAACCCATAAAAAAATTAAATTTGTACATATGAAAACATACCTCTTTATTTATATAGCAGAATGTCGAAATATGATTTTATCTAAAGTAAATGGGAAAAAAACTTGAGATGCTACCCATTATTTCGCGAAATTTGAATATGAGGCGCGCGAGCGTAATCTTGCCGCTACCTTTTGTGAGCAGTCGCCTTTGTGCTGATGGATATCATGCCCAAAGGGTCTACATCGAAGGAAACGGTGGAATGTAGGTGTTTAATAAAGTTCTTCTTTTTACAGTTAAATTGCTGAAGATTTTGAATGACACTTTGATCAATAAATTTCCATCGAAATCAAAATACACAATCCTGCATGCAGTTTCTTTATGTGGACAACATTTGGTAAATGTACCATATTCTCTTGTTGGAATCGTTAAGATGACTGTTGACCACATTATAATGGATAATGCACTTCAGACACTTAACGATGTTAAAGAGTATGAAAGCCAATCCTGCATGGTGGAACTTTTTCATTTGTATTTTTGAAAACTTTTTTTTTTAACTCTGCATGAAGTTATTAAATAACAAATTGTTTGCTACAATGGATTTTTTTTTTTGTTATTTTTTCTTCTTTTTTTCTTTGCATCGTTCTTTTTCACTGTCTATAATTAAAAAATCTTTTCTCTCGCACAGTAATTACAAAAAAAGAGAGAATTAAATTTTGTTTTTTTTAAGCACTGCTTCTTGCATAGTTGCTGTTGCATTTTCAATATGAATGATTTCCTACTTTTATGTGTATTTTACAAACTAAAATGTTTTTCTTTTTGTTTTTTGTAATATTTGCAAATTCTTAACTTGAAGAACTATTAGAGCTCAAAGGCATATCTTTTCTTTATTCCATTTTGTTATTGATGTTTTGCCTGTATATATTTTCTAATATTTATCCGTTTATATAATGATTGTTATCATCACTGCTATTCTGATGATTTTCTCCAATGACATTGCTATTAATACAATTATTATTATTATTGACCTTTTTACAAAAACATTTCTATTTGTACTTCATGAGACCAAAAACATGAAATATTTTTTCAAATTTTCGGGTTGTCTTTTTTCTTTTTTTTTTACAATCAATACCGTATTTTTCTGCTCTCTACTTACTTTGAAAATACTCTTCACTTGTAAACGATCACTAAACTCTGCCTAGTATTCCACTGATTATGGGTAATACTGACAGACGCTTGGTACTTATTCATTTATTTGTATTTTTTCACACTTTATGATTTACTATTAAAGGTATATCAATTTTGTTTGTCTCGCTAAATATTATATCAACCTTCTAACTTGTACCTCAATACTTGCGTTTACATCGAAACATTAGTTTATTATTATTAGTTACTGTAGTAGCAGTAGTATTAGCAGCTATATTACTATCAGTAGTAGTAGTAAAATTAGTAGTAGTAACCTTGATTTTTTTTTCTACTAGAAGTAACTGGTGGCTTCTAATGGAGATTAAGTAACAGAAAATTTTCTAAATCTTCTAGGACCTTCCTCGGTATTGTAACTTATTTTAGTAATGTTGAGATTTGGATATTTTCGATTCTTCCTCAAATTTCAATTTCTTCCAAACTATTTTCAAAACTATTTGGGGCTGATCCAAGTGCTCAAGTAATGATGGGCACGACAGTCACCTTCAAGTTCCAGTATATTGTTTCGTTTTTTGCGAGTTTCAAATCTGTTCTAGCTTTTTAATTCCCGCTTTAAGATGTGGTCAGCTGGAAAGAGCAACGTCCAATAACTGACAAATGTTCTCTTTGCACTCAATGATCTGGTCACGTGTCCCTTATTGGATGATCCGATTGGCCAGATATTTTTTCTTGCCTCTGACAAGAAACGTCTACCAAAGGTTTGAATGATTCCCAAAAGAAGAACTTTATTCTTATTATTATTATTATTATTATTAAGATATTTGCATATTTTTGGCTAAGCCAAGAATGTGTTAAAGGTTATTATGAACGACACTTTTATTATCTTTATGTTTCATCTTGTAATCCCGGTGTAACTGCCAGGAGTAGACCCCCGGTCCAGAATATAAACACAGCTCAGAGTATACCCACAGCCCAGAATATACCCCCAACCCAGAGTATACCCCAAGATCAGAGTATACACCCAGACCAGTCTACCCCCAGCCCAGAACATACCCACAGGCCAGAATATATCCCTAGCCCGGAATATGCCGCATCCCAGAGTATACCTCCAGCCTAGAGTATACGCCCAGCCCAGATTGTACTCACAGCCCATTGTATATCCACAACTCAGACTTTACCTCAAGATCAGAGTATACCCCCCAAGCCAGAGTAAACCCCAGCCCAGAATATATACACAGTCCAGAGTATACCCTAGTCCATTGTATACCCAGAGCCCAGAGTATACCCCCAGCTCAGAGTATACCACCAGGCGAGAGTACACCTTCAAGCCAGAGTATACCCCAGCCCAGTATATACTCTAGCTTGGGGGTATACCCAGAGACAAGAGTATACTCCCAACTCAGAGTATACACACAGGCCAGAGAACACGACCAGCCCAGAATATACCGACAGACCGGAATATACCCCAGCGCGGAATAAACCTCCAGACCAGAGAATACCCGCAGTTCAGAATATACTTCCAGTCCAAAGTATACCCCAAGCCCAGAATATATCTGCAGACCAGAGTATACCTCCATCCCAGAGTGTAGACCAGTTCAGTGTGTATCCAGACCCCTGAGAATACTCTCAGGACAGAGTAGACATCCAGGCCAAAGTATACCCCCAGCCCAGAATATACTCCAGCCCAGAGTATAGTCAGATCCCAGAATATATCCGCAGCCTAGAGTATACCATGGATAACAAAATGTCACGCTTTCTCCTTTATGCATTCTTCAGCCGTTAAGTTTATTTTATTAAGAAAAGGTATGTGTACTGCAATGCAGTTATAGATTTATAGATGCATTAAATCAACAAGATTCGTTTTTTTTTAATAACGGGACTACCTGAGTTCATACCATCTATGAGTAACAGTTTGTAAACCATCAAATAACATTCCAGTTAACATTCGCGTATTTATTGTTTCACCAGTGAAACGTATTTTAAGATTTTTTATTATAGCAGACAAGTATTAATTGTATTTTAGCACAATGTGTAAGCACATATTGGTTTTTAGTCTTACCCGTCGATATAAATAATGAAAACTGATGCTCGTCTAGTATGAAAAATGTCTTAAAATCTGGTCCACTCGTCTTCTCCTCACACCTTTTCAACATAAACAGCGTGGCCATTCTGAGAGAATTAGATGTTCTGCTAGGATTCATTATTGGTTGTCACAATCTTAAAAACATAAGATAGGCAGATACAGAAGAACTCCAAGAATTCCTACAGAAGGTATTGAAGGAAAGCAAGGACTAAACAGCAATTGCAAGAAGACAGAATGTTTGGTTTTTAGTAAAAGGAACAACCCAATATGCAAATTACAAGTGGGGGTACCGAGTTCAACCAGGCGCAACAATTTAAATATCTAGGAAGTGTACTAATAGAGAGCCGAAAGTGTGACGTTGAATTCAGAAGTCGCATTGCGATAGCGAAAGATGCAATTCAAAAGCTAAGCAAAGTATTAAGAAACAGAAAAATATCATTAAAAACAAAGAAAAGAACTGTTATGTAATATCAGTCCTCCTATTTGAAAATGAATCCTGGACAATCTTCTCACAGATGAAAAAGAAACAAACAGCAGAAAAATGATTCTAAAAATACCATGGACTGAACTTGTGAGCAACGACGAAGTTTTAGAGAAAATGGCAACAAAACTACACTTATACTTAAACTCAGGAAGATATGGCTGAAATTTCGAGTTCATACAATGAGGAAAGAGGGTTTGGAAAATTTGATACTCACAGGACAGATTGATGGTAAGAGAAACGATGAAAAGCTAAGTATAACTTACCTGGCGAGTGGTGTAAGATTTGGTGAGAGAAGGCAAAAAGGTCAAAGTTATTAAGAGATACAAAGGACAGGAAATTGTGGAGAGCCATGTTCGCCAACGTCCTGAAAGGTCACGGCACATAGAAGAATTGAAACAGTATCCACTAAAACGATAAGAAAAGCAATTATTGATACTAATACTAAAATCGAATACAAACTGGTTTAGAGTGATAGAGTTTGGACTATTTAATATTCCGAGTTATTAAATAAGGTAGCTTCAGTCATACTCAGGAGGATATTCTGAACTAGGTTAAATTATACCGGGGTATATTCGGTGAAAGGGTTAATCTGGGTTGATCCACTGGCTACAGATGTTCTTTGACATGGAAAAGCATCTGGCCGTCTTCAATGACCTCCTTCCTTACCTGGTTAATCAAGAGTAAATCAAGAACGAAACGTGTTTGATTTTTAAAACATAGCCACAATTACAACAGCAGTTTTTTCGCTCTCTCTCGCTCTCTCTCTCTCTTTTCTCTCCTTCCCTCTCTCTCTCTCTCTCTTCTCTCTCCTTCCCCCTCTCTCTCTCCCTCTTTTTTCTCTCCTTCCCTCACTCTCTCTCTCTTTTATCTCTCCTTTCCTCTCTCGCTCTTTTCTCTCTCCTTCCCTCTCTCTCTCTCTCCTTCCTTCTCTCTCTCTTTTCTCTCTCCTTACCTCTCTCTCTCTTTTCTCTCGCCTTCCCCTCTCTCTCTCTTTTCTCACTCCTTCTCCATCTCTCTCTTTTCTCTCTTCTTCCCTCTCTCTCCCTTTTCTCTCTCCTTCACTCTCCCTCTCTCTTCTCTCTCCTTCCCCCTCTCTCTCCCTCTTTTCTCTCTCCTTCCCTCTCTCTATCTTTTCTCTCTCCTTCCCTCTCTCTATCTTTTCCCTCTCCTTCCTTCTCTCTCTCTTCTTTCTCTCCTTCCCTCTCTCTTTCCCTCTTTTTCTCTCTCCTTCCTTCTCTCTCTCTCTTTTCTCTCTCCTTCCCTCCCTCTCTCTCTCTTTTTCTCTCTCCTTCCTTCTCTCTCTCTTTCTCTCTCCTTCCCTCTCTCTCTCTTTTTTCTCTCCTTCTCTCTCTCTTTTCTCTCTCCTTCCCTTTGTCTCTCTTTTCTCTCTCCTTCCCTCTCTCTATCTGTCTCTGTGTCGTGTTCTCTCTTTTTCTCTTTCACATCCTCTCTTTCACTTTCTCTCTTTCTCACTTTCTCTCACTTACACATTCTCTCTCTCTTTCTTTCTCTTCTTATCTCTCTTACATTTTCTCTCTCATACATTCTCTCACTTTCTCTTTCTCTCTCACATACTCTATCATTTTCTTTCTCCCACTTTTCTCTCTCTCACATTTTTGCTCTCTCACCCTTTCTCTCTCTCTCTCTCTCTCTCTCTCTCTCTCTCTCTCTCTCTCTCTATGGCCGACTTTCAGATCAATGTTATTTAGTTAAATTAAACACATTGAATCACCAGCAAGATCTGCTTTATTAATCCGAGCGGGATTTCACAATGTAAACTGCTGACAAATTATCTTTCCTTTTAGACTGAATGAAAAAAGAAAAAAAAAAAGGTTTGGCTCAAACTTTGAACTCGACTATTTTGCTAGCATTTGATTCGCTTGTTTCACATTCCGTCAAACACAGGATTAATCGAATTCAGGAAATAATTCGACTCAAACTGATAACATTTTGGTTTTTCATTTCTTACTTAGTATTTTGACAAATTGCATTTGTGCGAATTTTATCCGCTTGATTTTTGTAGGAATTTTTGAAAGTTTCCTTTTTCATTAAAATTATAATCCGGCTCAACCTTCCATATTACAGACGCTAGAACAAAACTCCGATACATATAAGACAGTAAATAAAGCAATTCGTTGCCCTACGATAGAATGATAATTAGAAGACTAACCTTACAGGCAATTGCTATTGAGGTGCATCGTCGATGAGTTGGAACCTTAAGTCTGTGATCTGGTGCTAGACTTTGCTAGCCTTATGTAAGGCAAGGGTCGTATCTGAAATTCCCTTTGTATTGTAACTCTGGGTCTCACTAAACGAAGCTGAGTAATTATCAGCGTATCTAATGTAGATCTGTGGTTTTAAGGTTAAGCAATTGTTATTGATTTCCATCTTTACTGATTTCTATAATTGTGAGGTCTTGAAAGATGTCTTGTACGAAGATTTGGACAAGTTACCACGATAAATGTATTTTTTTTTTTTTTTTTTTGTTAAAATATCAGTTAAGTCTTTTTATTATTATTATTCATTACAAACCCTTAATAGTTGACTACTTGAGACCTAGAGGTTAGGCAAGGTAGTAAAAATATGCATAATATTTGGAGAAATTCTGATGTTCAGTGATAACATGTACAGTGTTTATATTTCCTTTACATTGGTAACATTCTATTTAGATGAGCAGTTCTACAGTCATATTTTCATTTTCTCACCTTTCTTTTTCTTTTCCTCTTTTTGGGGCGGAGAAACAATTTATATTGACTGGTTCGCTCGTAAAATACAGGGATTTTTTTTCGGTGAATATTTTTTGCGGGTTAGTATTTATTTGCTATCGCTCAAACCGCAACTTTAAAAAAATATTGATTTTTTTTTTTTCTTTTACCATTTTAGAAGTGGGGGTCTTTTCCATAATATAAATTCAGTATCAAATCGATCCCTGATATCTTAGGTTATCTGTACTTTGTTTTAATTGATAAAAGTCAATTTTGAAATTGTACTCATGTCATTGATAACTGCGAAAATTGGGAAAAAAAGGACAACACGAGTTTCACGCATTTCCAATGACGTAGGCAAACTTTCAAACTTGACGCTTGTAAATAAAATCAGAGTACAGATAATTCTTTAAGAAATCAGGGGTCGATTTGATCCTTTATTTAAATTAGGAATATTGCCCCCCAACTTCTAAAATCGTAAAGAAAATTCTTTTTTTTATTCTGATAAATGATGTGGCTTGGGAAAAGTCTAATGAATTCTAATCTAGAAACATTTTTAAAAATTCTTACCTAATTTTTATGAGTGCTCCAGTTTGTTTAATTAATGTTCTTTTTTATGTTAGAACCATCATTACCATTAAAAAGGCCAATTTATTGAAAACAAAAAATTATTGAAAACAACTTATCGAAAACAAAGGCCAACTTATTGAAAAACAGCTATGTGCTAAAATTGTTATTGTTACACTTTATTAGGCTTTCACTGATATTGATTTGCTATCATTGGCAATATACAAATACCAAACTATGATTGTTACTTACTTCATAATCTTGCAATATTGAGAAATATTTTGAATGATCAACGGCTAAGTCATCCTGACAAAGGCTAAATGTTCTGGCGAAATGTATATTTATTTTATCCGGCCTTAAATCAGAGATGAACTGCTGACTCATTTTATTTTTTTTCATTCTGTAATTTTTTTCTTGTATTGCATTGACATAACTTGGAATAAAATATGAATTTATAACTGCTGTTAATTTTTGCAGCTATTTCTTTATATCAAGCCAAAAAGAATACTGAAAAATCACACACACACACACATATATATATAATATTATAAATTTAAAAATATGGTCTCATCCCTATGGAACCATAATTTTAAATATTTTTTGCGATCGGACCATGTTTTTAAATTAGTAAATTTATAATGTTTATGTTCTTATGGAACACTATTTTTTAAAAAAAAAGTTAAGAACACCGGATTATAAATCTTACTGTTCTTTTCTCACTATATATATATATATATATATATATATATATATATATATATATATAATTATTTATTAAAATATGATTCCATCGTTACATAAGAGTTCTCATGTTTCAAAACAAAAAAAACTTCAATATAATTATTTGAATTAAATTGAATTAAAGTAACAAGCTCTGTTCCATTTTAATTCAGTTTAATTCAAATAATTATATTGAAGTTTTCGGCTCTTGTTTTGAAACATGAGAACTCTTTATGTAGCGTGTTGGAATCATATTTTAAATAAATAATTATAATATATATATTTTAAAAATAATAACAAAAAAATACTATATTTTATAAATAATAACAAAATATATATATTTTTATATACTATATATTAAAAAATAATAACAAAAAATACTAAAGAACTTTGGATTATTTACCTAACGATTTCTTTCCTATTTTCTATATATTTTTACACACACACACACACACACACACATATATATATATATATATATATATATATATATATATATATATATATAGAGAGAGAGAGAGAGAGAGAGAGAAGGAGAGAGAGAATAAAGGTAATAAATCTGTTAGTATATAATCCAAGTGGATCCTAGTAATTTAAAATATTAAGACTGATCCACAGAAAGAACTCAATGTATTTATTATTACAGAGCAAATAATTCGTACACAATAAAATTCCAAATTACCAACACAATTTATTCCCCATATGAGGTAATTTTTGATTTTTTATTATATATATATATATATATATATATATATATATATATATATATATATATATATATATATATAATTAAAACGAAGCAAAATCATAACAATATTGGCAATAAGAAAGATTATATTTATTATATATTAGACTTTTGACTAAATTGAAGCACGAAGATGATGATTTAAAGTCGGGATACAACAACAATTTCCTATCGCTGCGCACTTCAACCAGCCGCTCTATAGCATTGCTAACATCAAATACATGCTTTTAGAGTCTCCGTTCAACAGCCGACAAGATAGACGCAGAGCGGAGTTGAAATATATTTTCAAAATGAAAATGGCACATTGAGGGATTAAACATGGTATTGGGTTTACTCAGAGAATATTATTTCCACAGGGAGCCCGCTAACAAAATTCCTCGAAATAGTGAGTCTCTCTTCTTTGATAAATCCTTGTCTCGTTGAAAAAGGATACTGGCGTGTCCGAAAATTCCGACATTAAAACTTTCTCTTCGTGCTTCAGTTTAATCAAAAGAGTAATATATAACAAATATCATCAATCTTATTGGCAATAATGTTAACATTTTGTTGGCGTTTTATTTCTCAAATTTTATTAACCGCCTTATTAAATCTATACATATGTGTGTGTGTGTGTGTGTGTGTGTGTGTGTGTGTGTGTGTGTGTGTGTGTGTGTGTGTGTGTGTGTGTGTGTGTGTGTGTGTGTTTAGGCAGCAAATTCTCTTTTAGGCATCTCTGATTGAATAACATTATATACCAATTTAACTGTCCCTATGGAGAACGTATCTCCGACAAAGATATATATATATATATATATATATATATATATATATATTTATGTGTGTGTGTGTGTGTGTGTATTAGATGTACGACAAATACACTAACAAGAAGGCTTACATAACACATATCTGAACATTCGTCGATTGCGAGACATCTACAATCAACATTCCTGTCCGCATTCACAATATAATAAATTACTAATCGACAACGCAACTATCCTACACAATGAAAACAACAAATCTAGATTACAGATGCTAGAAGCTATTTATATTTAAAAAAAAATTAAAGCCGACACAGAACAGAAACAACTATGATTAATGCAGTAATGTTCTGAAATGTCTGTAATGGAACAGTTTTTTCACGCTTGACCATGTCACTATAACCTAGAGAGAAAAAAATTCCATAATGGCTAATTTTTTTTCACGTTCTAAAGAACGCTCAGCACATTGTCAACCGTTTTGCATTTAAAAGCATAATGAAAAAATTATGGTAATTGATAACAACACACATCTTTGTATAAATAATTATATTAATGAGCAACATATAGTTTTGTATTACTTGCACCCCTGTAGATGATCTTAGAAGAAGATCGAAAGTACTTGGGAAATTAAAATAAAATAAATTTATACCGCTATAGCACATTTCTCTCAGAAAATGTCTGTAACATAATCAATCAGACATATATATATATATATATATATATATATATATATATATTATTTTCGAAGATGTCTTTCGCTATTTATATCATTAACTTTACTAATCTACTTTTGTATGAATGATTCATGTAATATATATATATATATATATATATATATATATATATATATATATATATGTGTGTGTGTGTGTGTGTGTGTGTGTGTATATATGCCTGATTGAATAAATTACAGACATTATGTCTGTTAATTTTTAACAAAATCCGTTCATGCTCACGAATAACCTTCCGGGTATTGATGCTGAAGGACGAGAAAAATGTGCTATGGATGTTTAAATTTCGTTTATTTTTATTTATACATATGTATATATATATATATATATATATATATATATATATATATATATATCCGAAATCAAATGCGCTGGACAAGTCATCTGACACCTATGATCAATGACAGATTGCACGAAAGACTTTTTATGGTGACCAGGTACAAGGTAATTGACCTGCTCATAAGCCCAAAATTTGTTTCAAGGATGTAGTTAAATGTAAACTGA